TTGGGTTCAAAGGAACCCAACGCTTGGGTTCAATTGAACCCAATAGGCACCCTTTCTCCTCCCTCTTCCTTGCCTTGCTTTCCATCAATCAATTCCTCTCATCATTAAACAACAAAACCCAAAAAAAAAAAAAAGCACCTTTTTTTTTTTTAATTTTTTGCCCCTAGGTTTGAACCCAGAGCCAGGTTTGAAAGAACCCAACGTCGGGCTCCTTTGAACCTAGTGTCGGCTTCGAAGGAACCCAATGTCAGGTTTGAAGGAAACCAAGCGATGGATTTGAAGGAACCCCAGTGCCTAGGTTCCAAGGAATTCAAGACCCCAAGAGAAAGAGAAAGGGAAGGAGAAGAAAAAAAAAAAAAAGGAATTTTTTAAGTTTTTTTTTTGTCATATTAATATTTTTTACCATATTATTATTTTTTTCCATGTCACTATTTGTTTGCCATATTGTCTTCCATGTGTATTAATATTTTGACATGTCATAATATTACCATAAATTAATAGGACACGTTATGTCATTTTTAACAGAGGGACTAAATCGGGGTTAAAATGGTAAACAGTAAAAACTAAATCAAGAATTTTTTGAGTTGAAGGACTCGATTAAAGATCCGTACAATAGTTGAGAGATAAAAGAGTTTAACCTATAATATACCTTTGACAATGCCTCCAATTTTCTTGTTAATATGATTGATCTCATACATTGAGATAAGTATTTTCTACTTCATACATTTAGAACTAAATTTTGAGAAAGGAATTTAAAACAAGATATCTCAATAAGACATCTCTTTGAGAAATTTTCAATGAATCTCCACTTTCGAATTCTCCCAATTAAAATGTAATGTTAAATATAAAACTAATGCTATACTGAAGTTAATTAGAGTACATCTGCAATTTTTTAGTTTCCTCCAATATTCTAGAATTACAATATTTATTTCCACAACCCTACCATAATCAATTGAAGGACTTGCAGTTATATTGCAAATTTCATTCTATTAACATGGAGACACAAAGTTAATAACCTCATAACATTGTTACTTTGATTCCATAACAACTTGGTGGCCGCGGCCAAATGAACTAACATCATACAAATGTTATTGTGCTTATTAATGTTGTTTACGAATGTGAAACTAATGCATGATCCATGTCTTCAGAAAATATTTTACAACCATATCATTTTTAAATATTGTGCATATTTTAAAAAGAATATAAAACACTGCTATTGTTGGAGATATTTACAAAATTAAAAAATTGTAAATATTGTGGGGAGATTGGTTGATGGATAATATATTTTCTTAGCAATCCGGAAAATTAAGGGAGAATCTTACGGTCATTTGCTTTAGCGGTTTTGGATAGTGATTAATGGTTTTGTCTAAAC